GGTTCCTACTGGAGGGAAGGAAAGAGGCCTGCCCTGGAAATGGCACACGCCACCTGAGTGCACATCTCACTGACAGGAACCCGGGTCACACCTGACTGAAGGAGAGTGCGCCATGTAGTCCGAAGGGAAGGATAAACTTTGGTGCAGCATACAAGTAATCTCTGCTCCAAAAGGCCTCTGGAGCAACACAAAATGCCTGTGGTCAGGAAGGAGAGGAGACTACCACAAGTCAGGACGATGCCCACCTTGAGCAGGGAGAGAGTTTTAACTGAGAAGGAAACTTCGAGGTTCTGAATGCAATGGCACGGATGTCCTCTTTATCTTCATTCGTTAAACTGTAGTTTAAGTTTTTGCATAATTTTGTGTTTTCGCAGCAGAGGGTTTTTAAACAACGATTAATCTTGCAGCAAGACGACATACAAAGTCCATCCCTTACTGGGTGTGCATCTTGACATCCCTCAGCCCAGCACATAAGACACCTAGACCCCGAAGTGACATGTAACACTAATGTTGTTTGGTTTTACTTGTTTGTAATAACATATATTTGTAGTTATTCCATTGATTTAGGAATTCAATTTTTGTATTTAGTACAAAATGGGCTTTAGAAATGAAATGTGGATTTATAGTATTTCCCTTGTAAGAGATAGGGTCTGACACAGTAACAGCTCAGCATATAACTAGAGTCCAGGAAGCAACCAGATCTTAGGTCCAGCATCGTGCATCAATAATCCACCAGAAACCCAACTTAATCAAATCCGTATGAAATAAGAACTAAAACTGGTGGGACTCTGCAGCAGACAGACTCCAGGGTGGTCCCAGGACTCGTGCCTCCTAGTACTCACACCCTTGAGTACAGGTGGAATTTACTGGCTCACTCCTCACCCAGAGTTCAGCAACAGTGACAGGATGTTCGCAATCACGTTGCAGAAGACTATGATGTCAGTCTTGCCAGAGGAAAAGCTGCCATCATGTAAAGCTGCGCCTCAGGAGAACCACGTGGAAAGGAACAGAGGGTGTGTTACAGCCAAGAGCCTGAGAGGCTCTGGGCCCAAGAGCCTACAAGGAACGAATCTGCCAACAACCCTGTGAACTGGAAGCAAATACCTCCCCATTCGGGCTTCAGATGAGACCCGAGCCCTGGCTCACACGTCCGCATTGTAGCCCAGCAAAAGATGAAGCCAAGTTGTGCCCAGACTCCTGACCCACAGAAACTGGGACATAACAAATGTGCCTTTTTTAAGTCACTAAGTTTGCAGTAACAGTGCTGTGCAGCAACAGACAATACAGAATCTTTGTGAAAATTCCACTATTTTTCCAAATCCAGTAACACTTGACAGAAAAATATTATCTTTTCCCATTACCTCTCAATAAATTTATGAAAACTAGAATTTTGGGGCGCCTGGGTGGCTCAGTCATTAAGCGTCTGCCTTCGGCTCAGGTCATGATCCCAGGGTCCTGGGATCGAGCCCGGCATCGGGCTCCCTGCTCAGAGGGAAGCCTGCTTCTCCCTCTCCCACTCCCCCTGCTTGTGTTCCCTTTCTCGCTGTGTCTCTGTCAAATAAATAAAATCTTAAAAAACAAAACAAAACTAGAATTTTACAGGGTATTTGAAGAGCATGACAAAAGAGTTCACAAGATGGGCTGATGGCCATAAATCTTTCTCAAGACTCACATTGAAGCTACCAGAGGCATTTCACTATTCCTATCAGTATTTTTTTTATTCCTATCAAGTTTTTAAAGGGAAGTACATTTCCACTTCTGTCAAGTGCACACTGCTATTTCAGAAAGTATCCAGAATGAAGGAGAAAGCTCTTTGACGTTTAAATATTTATTTTCTTTACTATCCACCCCTCATTCCCCAAAACATTATCAACTTCTAGGTCTGTGGCCCATACACAAAACTTCCTAGCAGTTCATTTATCAGTGACTTTCTGTAATGAGGCTCATGAGCAACAGATGTTGCTTCATCAAGAACTGCACTTACATAGCTTTTGCACTATTTGTCAATGCTCTCAATTACTTCGTCACAATGACATCTCACGTATAACTTACTCTACAGAAAAGAACGACAATTAGCCCAGACTTAAATATTAAGACACAAACAACAACAACAAACTGCTTTGCTAGTGAAACAAAGAACCGGTGTTCCGAATGTCTCAGTCACACTTGTGTGCCCACGCCACTGCTGCTGCGTGACATCACGTCATACACACACACACCTGAGAGCTCATAGCTCTCGGCAGCTAAGACACACAGTGTCAAACACCCTTCTCCCATCCCCCACACACAGCAAACAAGTACTACGTCCCTCTGTGTCCAAAGACCCAAGGGCTAAGGCCGAAGCGAGGGGCACTGTGAGAGAGCCCAGCTCTCTGAGGTTACTTAAACAGTTGAGGCAGATTCTCAGGGACTCTCTGACAGAATGCCTGGAACGAGGAAGTGTTACATTTTAAAGCAGTAAGGGCCGAGAGAATGTGCAATCTAGTGAGCAGAAGCTCAGTCATCACTGAACGAGAATAAAGCAAGGGGAGCCGGACTCCATTTGTCTGTAGCACGAACCTCCCTACACAACAGAAGGTTCCTGAGAATAATTCCGTTTCATTGTCAAACCTTAAGAAATAATTAACGTTCAAGGTAACAAAAGATAGATGTTTATGAAAATTACTCACTCTTTTCACTCCCTCTCCAATTCTCAGACTTCACTGGATCACGTGACTGCACTGCTGACATAATCTCCTGTAATTACAGAGATCAAAGCCCACAAATGCCTCGTAATTTGCCATTTCCACAAATCCTAAACATAAGATAAACATAACATCCACATATTAATCTTCAGACTTCAAAATAAGAAACACGTGATTTGAAAATGTTACAGCCAGAGGCATTCATACAAACTACTCTATTAATGACCACAGAAAATAGGTAGCAGTTGCCTCCGTAATTACCGATTCAATAGTGAGAAGTGAGCAGGATGCTTAGAGGCTCAACTGGAATATCCTGGTAAACAGGGAACAAAGAACACGTTTCTAGCTAACCAATTTTGAAGTGAGCGATCTATTCAAATACTTCCTGAGGTCTGAAACCAATGGCTGTTAAAATCTTCAAATATACAAACCTAATTACAGAAAATTATTTTTAATGGACTTGGGGAATTATGATAGACACAAAACCTGACATCCTTTCATGCATACTGCTCAGCTCTCCTGGCCCCTGGGCTGAGTGGGTAAAGGTCTGGAAGTGACAGTACAAATCATCAAGTAGCTGGTCATACATCTATCATATTTGGTACAAATTTAAATAGAATTTGCTGTTCCATGAGCCAGGAAACCGGTGACATATTTTTCCACACTACTGGATAAAAGAAAAATCTGAAATAAATTTTCTATTCCACTGGATAATGGGAAAAAAAAATTTAAAAAGAAACAAAAAGTCACCCATGAGGAGCTAATACCAAAATCTTAAGACAAAATTTGTTACAAATTTTTCGTGCACATTTAGATCTACTTAATATAAATTTTTAAATAAGGTACAAATACTATAATTGGTAAGATATTTTCGTTCAACAGATTATAAAAATTATCAAGACCAGGGGCGCCTGGGTGGCTCAGTCGGTTAAGCGACTGCCTTCAGCTCAGGTCATGATCCTGGAGTCCCGGGATCGAGTCCTGCATCGGGCTCCCTACTCGGCGGGGGGTCTGCTTCTCCCTCTGACCCCCCCC